TTAATGAAACACTTGATTATTTAACCTTGAAAGAAGAGAAATTTTTGCATTCTATTTGTCCGGTGTTTTTAAATCCTATTAATTATACAGGTTGTCGTTTCTCCCCTTGTAGTTTTAATGATGAATATACGTATGATAGGTTTCTATTTTTGGATATTACAAACAACTCCATGGCCCCATATCAGACCTACTCGACATAAAATTATTGTAAAGCAAATTTATGTGCTTTACACAAATCAGTGTGGAAACACTAAGAAGAATCTATAGAATACACAACTTTTAGGTTGGTGACCTGTTTCTGCTGTGAAAATAATGTTTTCTGCTTAGAAGATTTCTGTGGGTATCAGCTGCCTGAAATTGGCCCAGGAATCTTATTCAAACAGGAAGAGATAAGAATTCACACACTCTACCACTTTTACCCTCCCCCTTCAACAAACAAACAAACAAACAGGTACAGATGTGCGTGGTGATCCACCAGTCTGTGGCCGTCAAGTCGGCTCTTTTCCTAGCCGAGCTGTCCCGTCACAACTACGTCACCCCAACCAGCTACCTGGAGCTCCTGGGCATCTTCTCCAAGCTGCTCACCCTCAAGAAGATGGAGCTCAAGACGGCCAAGAACAGGACCAAGACAGGTCTGGACAAGGTAGGTCTATTTCTGGTTCTCGTCGATGCATCCTCTGTTTGCTTCACATGGAAAATCCCAGATTTGAAATATAGAATGGAGACAGTGGAAACTGGTCCTTGTTTCTTAAAAAGGTGTTTGAAATTTCATTTCAGTCCTTCAATCACAATTTGAAAGAGTACCTGTACCAAAAAGGTGCTGTTCTTGTGGAATCCCGTTCATTGATCTCCGGGACAAAATGATATCTTTGTGGACATTTATTGGCAACGGGTGATGGGGACGTGGTAGTTTCTTTGTCTTTTGAACATTAAAGGCAGATGACCTAATGTGGGACAGTATATCTGGAGAGTAAAGTGCTCTGTCGAAAAGTAGTCTTTTTGAGACGTGTGGTTGGTGGCACCATGTTTTTTGTATTTTAAATTGTGTTTGATTCCAAATTGGGTATCGACTCGACTATACCCTGGGAACTGCTTTCCGCAACATTCCACAGTACCAATTATTGTGTCCACTCGATAGCTCTTGACGACTGCTGAGGACGTAGCCAGGATGCAGGCAGAGTTGGAGACGATGCAACCCCAGCTGGAGGAGGCATCCAGGGAGACGGTGGTTACCATGGAGAAAATCTCCAAAGATACTGTGAGTCTCTCGTCAGTGGTACATTTTTTAAGTCACAAAAAATATTCAGCAAATAGGCTTAGAACGGGGAACAGTTAACTGACGAACACCAAAAATACATCTGCACTTCCATTCAGCTGATTCGAAAATCTGCAGAGGACTGTTGTTATTTTAAAGTTGAGATTATGAAAATTAAGTATCGATGTATTTGTATATTTTTCATGAATATTTATTAAAGTTTGGCCAATAAAACCAAGAAGATTGAGCAAGAGGAGAAGCAATGGGCAGTGGCCAATACCCGGGCGACCCAGGAAATTACCTGCAGTACTTGATGGGATTGTGAATGTTAATTCTGAATATTTAAATGTTTGTCCTGAATATTCATTAGATTGTAGCCAATGAAACCAAGGAGATTGTGCAGAAGGAGGAGCAGCAGGCTGTGGCCAAGGCCAGAGAGACTCAGGAGATTGCCGACAGCGCTCAGCGAGATCTGAACGAGGCCCTGCCAGCCCTGGATGCTGCCTTGGCCAGTCTGAAGTCACTCAACAGAAATGATGTAGTAGAGGTAAGTTTCCTTATAGAGAAATCCAGTTTGGATACCTGTTGTGTTTAGAGTAATTAAATGATTTGCTTTGCTTCTAAAGACAGTTGTTGACATTGATTTGTCCAAGGTCAAGTCATATTTAGCAGTTTTTATATATTTCTGCAGATGAGGGAATATTAACTTTACTTTTGTACCTCAAGATGGCTCAAGGTTTTGTGACACTGTGTAGATTCAACTCAGGTGGGAAGAATTCCAGAAAACAAACTAACTTCTCAGGAAAGAATGTGATTAGTTGGGAAAAAATGTTTTGAAACAACGGTGATAATACCAGACTCGAGCCTCAAATTGTGTAAAATTTGTAAAACATGTCCACGATGCTGCAAAGCATTCACAACTAGTTAAGATGCTCTGTTTTCTGTAATTGATTATGAATGGTTTCCTTGTGTTACAGGTGCGTGCTATGCAGCGCCCTCCGGCGGGCGTACGCATGACCGTCGAGGCAGTCTGCATCATGCGTGGCGTCAAACCCAAGAAAGTCGCCGGTGACCAGCCTGGCAAGAAGGTGGACGACTACTGGGAGCCGGGCAAGGCGCTGCTGCAGGACCCGGGCAAGTTCCTGGAGAGCCTGTTCCAGTACGACAAGGTATGGCCTCGGTTGGTCAAACCTAACCCCTGAAACTTTTTCTTTTTTTGGCCAGGACCTTCTCTGAATCCTGTCTCACAAGATCCTCCACTGTGCAGGAAACCAATTATTATTATTGGTTATTTTAAGCGACAAAAATTGTGTTCCAATTTTATATTTAAAATATAGATATTGTTATATAAAGAAATTGCTAAGCTTTAAGCGATGTCTTTCCCCGTTGTAAAGCTGACTGTCGTTTCTGAATAAGTTCTTTTACTTTGCTGGTCATCCATGGTTGATGGTTGTTGTGAGATTTGACTGTACGTTTGGGAAGAAAAAGATCTATTGCTCCGTGAACTGTGTTGTAAAATGCAGTTGATTTCTGTTCAACTGTGTCTAGATTGAGCACTTCCTCGTAATCGACGGTTTGTCATAGTGCTCTGACATGTTAGTTATAATCACGTCAAGAACTACGTCAATTATATATATAAAATACATCTTGAAAAAAGAACTACGTCATTGGGAGTTAGGAAGTCAACAACATGCTTGAAGTCTTTGCATCAAGTCCCCTTGGGATTGTTAGGACTGAGCTGTATCTTCTTCAATCCTGCAGAATCTTGTAAATCTAGTGGATTTTGAAGGATATGGGAGGGACAAGTGTCAGGTATTGATTCGGTACTATCTGCTTTATGTTAAAGGCTAACCTCAGGTTTGAAGCTGTTCATCAAAAGGTCTGTAAGCTCCTTATCAAGCATGGCAGATAGGACTTCAAATTTCTTTTAACCCCTTAACGCCGGGATTCTTTTGACCGCGACTGCTGGGCTGCGGTATGCCCAGTATGCAAAGCCTTATCCAGCAGCAGACCCACATTGAAACCGCAGGTGCATGGTGAATAGAATGTATGTGTGGTATGCACTGATCCTCACACAAACCTGTGGCTGTCAACGGCTCTTGAGTGAAGGGGTTAAGTTATGGATGCTTCCAGGAATTGCCACATCAAATTCTGTTTTCTTTTAGTAGATGTTTGTAGAAGAGGCTTTTAAACAGATGAAGCTGTATACAGACAGAATTTGTTCAGAGGGTTTCTCATAAGTTGGAGCACTTTCTGATTGGGCACCTTCACTCTTCCCAATTGATACAAAATAGGTACCCCAAGTGTTCCCAATTGGGCATACATTCTGAGTTGGGAACAGATTAATTTTCCCCTCTTGCAACACATTACCAGTTTCCACTGCCAGTTACCAACTTAGACTGCATGGTATTTTGCATTTCAGTTCCTAATTGGGTAGTGAGTTGTGAAACATTCTCTTGTTGATTCCGTTTTCATTGGAAAGTGTATGCATTGGTCTGTTTGTGCAACTGTAAATATGTTTAGGTATTCCCAGGCAAATTGTCTATGGCTGTGCACCTTCCTAATCCTGTGACTTCACCTCCTATTACCTCGTCTTTCTCAGGACAACATTCCCGATGTTGTCATCAACAAGATCCAGCCATTTATCGACAACGAGGAGTTCCAGCCAGCTGCCATCGCCAAGGCCTCTAAAGCTTGCACCTCCATCTGCCAATGGGTGCGAGCTATGCACAAGTACCACTTTGTGGCAAAGGGAGTCGCTCCAAAGAGAGTGAGTTTCTTTTCTCTTTTATTATTTTTTTCCTCCAGGAATTGAGAGGTGGTACTTGCTTTGCGTGCCTAAATTTATTTGTTTATTTGCTCTGAGGTGGTCATCATTTCTGAAATTCTTTGCTTCAGCACTAAAGGATCCCTATGGCAGTCACGTGATTTTGGCAGTTATTTTCAGGGCCTTATTCTGAGCTTGAAAGAAATATTTAATTGAAACAGAGAATGTTTTAGACTATGTTATTTATGTAATTAGTTTTTTGGGGGGCCGTATACTTAAATTGCACCAAATCCTTTTGCCCAATTTCATGTTTAAAGCAGTATTTTTCAATCAACACCTTTTAATGCAATTTTTCTGCGAGGGTTTTATGGCACTGACATGACAAACTCTTCTTGTGTGCAATTCAGGAACGCTTACGCATTGCCACGGAGGACCTGGCGGTGACCCAGCGCCAGCTGGACGAGGCCAAGGCCAAGCTGCGGGAGGTGGAGGAAGGCATCGCCACCCTGCAGGCCAAGTACGAAGACTGCATCGAGAGGAAGGAGGAGCTAGAGAACAAGTGCTCGCTGTGCGAGGCCCGGCTGGGCCGGGCCGACAAGCTGATCGGCGGCCTGGCCGACGAGAAGGGCCGCTGGCAGGAGTCGGTCAACCAGCTGGACTCGGTCATCAAGAGCATCGTTGGGGACGTGCTGGTGTCGGCAGGATACGTGGCCTACTTGGGGCCATTCACGGCAAGTTTTAAATAGGGGACATTGCTGATCTTGAGAGCTCTTGACCACTTAAAAGTCCTCAGGGAGCCACTGTAGATAAACAGCTACATAAATAAACAGAAAAAACAAAGTCCAAATGAAACATGCATGATCAAAATAATGTTATGATTTGACATATTATATTAAACATGCAATAAGAGAGTCATAATTGCTGAACTGTTTGTCCGAAGTATATGTGTGGAAGAAGAAATATATTTAAGGACTTCCAGGCGATGTGAGTTTTATTAGATGGCAATGGTGATTAAGTAACGAAGGGTTAGTGTCATTGGTGATATCTTGATTGACATTGTGTGCCCTCTTTATTTTCCTTGGTATTTTTCAATTCTCTATAAGTTTCCCACCGTTTCCTGTTCCACACCAGGGTGAGTATCGTGCCTCCCTCTGCAGTGAATGGGTCAAGACGTTCCCTGAGTGGAAAGTGCCGCACACCGCCGAGCCCTCCTTCATCAATTGCTTCGGCGACCCGGTCAAGATCAGAACCTGGCAGATAGCCGGCCTGCCCAGGGACAATCTGTCCATTGAGAACGGCGTCATCGTGCAGTTCTCGCAGCGCTGGCCGCTCTTCATCGATCCCCAGGGACAGGCTAACAAGTGGATCAAGACCTTTGTGAGTGCACACGCTGATTTGACACAAATTGTACCCTCCTATGAGGAAACCATGGAATAGAGGGTGATGACATTTCATTGTGATTTCTTCCCACGCATTTGGACGTCACTTGTGCATGCTGTGCATCCTTGTATGCGGATTGGCTTCAAAGTGGCATGCACAAGGTCGTTTCTCAAGTAAATTGCTCCATTTCTCTCATTAAGGAAGGGTGCCCAAAAATCCTGACAATTGTCACATGCAAGCTCACACAAGGCCCTTATAAATCCCACCCCTAGCATATCTTACCCTTTACTCTGAGCTGTAGAAATGGGTTTGGTTTGCTGCATCACAAAAACAGCTCCACAGCCAAATTTTGTGATGTTGCTTTAATAGGGTAAGCAGAGATTTCTTGCTAACTATGGTCGAAAATTCTGCCTTGACTTTGAACACATTCATGTATGTTATCTCTGTTAAAGACTAAGCAGAGAATTTATGCAAGTGTAGCAAACGGCCATTGATGAAGGTTAGAATAGAGTTGTATGGTTAGCAGAGTCATTAAATTAGACACTGGGAGCTTCTCTTGCCAGGAGCCAACTTGAGAGTTACTGATCTTTGTCAAGAATAGAAACTAGTTGTCACTCGTATCTTGGTGCATTGCTTATTTTGTTTAACAGGAGAAAGACAACGGCCTCGATGTGGTCAAGCTTACTGACCGCGACTTCCTGCGTAGCCTGGAGAACGCCGTACGTTTTGGCAAACCGTGCCTGCTGGAGAATGTAGCTGAAGAACTAGATCCAGCCCTGGAACCAATCCTATTGAAACAGGTCAGACAAAGAATATGGTAACTTTAAAAACGAAATCATTCCAAAAGAATCGACAGAAGTAACATGTTGACTTACAAAGAATGTGCGTCAAGGAACAGATATATTGATTTGAGTACTGTGTATGTGGTGTATAGTGTGATTTTCTGAGCTGAGAGTGTTTCCCAGAAATTCATTGACTGGTGATGAGACATTTTGAAATTTTTCCAGAAATGACCTTATCAATTCCAATAACCCTCTCCAAAACAGTTGGTCTGGAACCACGCCTACTGAACAGACGCAAGCATACAATGGAAAATGAAAGAGCTTTAAATGAACTGTTCAACTTTTTTCCCCACAGACATTCAAGCAGCAGGGCAGCACTGTCATCAAGCTGGGTGATGCCGTCATCCCTTACCACGAGGACTTCAAGTTCTACATCACCACCAAGTTGCCCAACCCCCACTATACCCCAGAGGTGTCCACCAAGGTCACCCTGGTCAACTTCACCCTCTCGCCAAGGTAAAAGCATGTCACACACTGTTCGCTAAAAATCTAAAACTCGAAATGCAGTGCTTCAGCTTCACTATTTATAATTTTCAGTGTTACGTCGCTATCAAAGTTAAGCAAACTTTTTCTGACCTAAGTATGCCTTTTGCTGTGCTTACTGCTTATGGTCTTCATGAAGAAAGCAGAGCCTACGTGAGCATACATTCGTTTGTTAAGCAGTTCCATGAAATTGGGCCCTGTTTGGCAGCTTGGTTTCATTCAAATCTACTACAGCGGCAACCGAAAATTTCTTTTTTCTTTTCCCCAGTGGCCTTGAGGATCAGTTGTTGGCCCGTGTGGTTGCCGAGGAGAGACCAGACCTCGAGGAGGCCAAGAACCAGCTGATCGTCAGCAATGCCAAGATGAAGCAGGAGCTCAAGGAGATCGAGGACAAGATCCTGGAGAGGCTGAGCTCCTCCGAGGGGAACCCCGTAGATGATGTAGACCTCATCAAGACACTGGAGGCCTCCAAGATCAAATCCCATGAGATCCAGGTAACTTGCCAGGGATAGTGAGTGGTCTGGAAATACTTGACCCTTAAGCCTTACCAGAATTACTCGGCTGCGGCTTGAAGCAGTGTATGCGTTTATGGAATAGGTGTGCAGCCACAAGATGTCAGTCTTGAGGCATAGCCTAATAATTTGGACACAGCTTTGGGTTGGGTTGTCAGCTTTCTCCCACTGTAAAAGCTAGATCTTCACCTGAGAATTGGGCACCAGAACATACATTGCACTCGCAATTCTTAGTGATTGCAATGACCTTAGAGCCACCAAACCAGGGGCAATGTGCTGGAGCTATCTAAGGAGGGAAATTTGCTAAACAGAAAATATTTGCTCAGCAAAAGCTGTTCACCGGCCAAACTGTCCGAAGCTGTTTATTCACCTATTTTTGTTTTTGTGTTTTGCTCGGCACTTTGACGTGTAAAGCAGTTTTTATCTTAAGCAGCTTTGAGAGATTGAACGTCTCAGCACTATCTGATTATTAAACCTCTTATCAACCTCTTTCCCCTTTGTCCGTATTTTCTCAGGCCAAAGTCATTGTCGCCGAGAAGACGGAGCGAGAGATCGACGAGACCCGGTCCCAGTACATCCCGGTGGCAGTCCGCACCCAGCTGCTGTTCTTCTGTACCACCGACCTGGCCAACGTGGACCCCATGTACCAATACTCCCTGGAGTGGTTTGTCAGGATCTTCCTAGCTGGGATAGCCAACTCCGAGAGAGCAGGTAAATACAAGCTCAGTTTCATCTCGCGCATTTTTCCGTGGATGTGACATCAAGTTTTGAGCCTGGTGAATGAAATTTCCAGTGATAGAACAGCTACATAGCGTTGCTGGGCTGTGAATACAGAAATGATGCTGTACAGCCTGTGAAATGTTGGGGCTGGTCGCAATCTGGATCTAAGTATGTCCTGTGTTTTTTTAATCTGAATCAGTCCATTCATTCACCGTCGTAAGAATCTGAAGAGCTTTTAGAATCTGAATTGAGGAGTCAACCCTTGGTGGTGTATTTAGGCAGGATCTTTATCTTCAGTGTCCAGAAATCTTTTATTTTTCATTTGGATAAAGCTTGAGTAAAGCTTGCTTGATGCCTGTTTGTCTGTGCTCAAGATGTCTTTGAAGTTGTGCGCGACACCCTGGTATGAAATTATGCATTTATGAAAAAAAATAGTCCTCTGCACTCATACGGTATCTGTAATAATATGCAACTTGTAAAATTTTTGTTATATGTATAAACTAATCCGATTAGACACGGCACTCACAGGCACATTCTTCAAGCTTGACGCGTGCGTGCGTTTGGCAAATCACGACACCCTATCGGTCGAAGAGGCATTTAACACGCTCGTACCACCTGTCCACGAGCGTTGTGCCACCGCAGTAATGGCTTCTAATTCTGGTGATCCAATTACACCATATGCCATATTTGTGTGTGTCTGCAGACCACCTGCCTCAGAGGATCCTCAACATCAACGAGTACTTCACCTTCAGTCTCTACAGCAACGTCTGCCGCAGCTTGTTTGAGAAGCACAAGCTGATGTTTGCCTTCCTACTGTGCGTACGTATCATGCAGAACGACGGCAAGATCAATATGGTGAGTCTGTCGCTTGCCGCTCAGTTTCAGACGTTTGAGGGCGAGTTTTGCAGCTACCCGTCGTTAAATCTTCCTTCTTTTTACTGGTATCTCTTTCAGTGCCATTAAGCAACAGAATGGAAATAGCAAAAATGGAATGAATTGAACTGAAAACTTCAACTACTTAATTCCCCCCCTTTCCTGTTGGTTGATTCTGAATGATGTAAATATTCATTGTGTTGTGTCTGTAAAGTGTGGTTTTTGCCTCTATAATAGTATTTGTGACATTGCTCCCATTCAGTGTAGATTACCTTCCATCAAAATGATTACAAGTTCTTATCTGTTCTAGGCCTGTTGTCGTCCTTGCTGTCTTCCCCTTTCACTCCAAGAAATGAAAATAGAAACTATAAGTCTTTGTAACTTAAGTAATCTTTTTTTACCTCCACAACTTTAAAAGTCATTAAGTCCGTACACCTTTTAACCTTCCACAGGTCAAGAAGAAAATTAGTTGAAAAATTGCAACGTGTTAAGCTTGACTGACATTTTTGCTGGTGTTCGAGGTCAATTGATGGCATACATTGAATCTCTTTAATATGTAATATCCAAATAGGGCCTAGGTATTGCGTGGTTTCCCATCGGGGTATCCTCTGTTCTGGGTTCCTGTCTCTTACTGAGAAAGGACAAAGAGTTACATTGGTCTCTGTTGAATTTCGCCCACAGGACGAGTGGCGTTTCCTGTTATCCGGCGGCACCACGATCCCTAAGGAGTTGCCCAACCCAGCCCCGAGCTGGTTGTCCGACAGGGCCTGGGGAGAGATCCTGTCACTGGCTGCTCTGGTGAGTAGAAGACAGCTTGTGAGTTCATACTTTGGCCAGCCAGTCATGGTGTCTCTGTAATCCAGAGCAGTTGTAAGAGGAATAAAGCTGTGTGGATTCCATTATTGCAGCCGAAGAGAGAAGCTTAAAGAATTACAGCCGGTGGTGAAAGCACGAAGCGTGGGGGTTTTGCTCGGAGTACATTTCTCCTTTGGAGGATGCCTTCGTTAAAATAAAAACTTCATCTTTTTTTCAGGTGTCACTTTGTGTCTTCACACAGCTCCGAGGCTCTGTCATGAAGCAAAAACATTCCACCTACGATAGTGCATGCACGAAGTTGCAGTACTCTTGAGTATATTATTAAAGCCACACACCCATCATGTACAGGTCTAGCGTAGGGTCTATCCTCACAGAGTGATCTAGTCCTCCGATAGACCCACTCCATTTCTGAATTCTGATCTGCCGCTATCTTCCCTCCCCTTGTCCCATGTAGCCCAAGTTTGCCACCTTCGCCGAGTCCTTCTCCAGTTACCTGGATGGCTTCCAGCACATCTTTGATAGCATTGATCCGCATCGGGAGGACCTCCCCGGGGAGTGGCAGACTGACTTGGACGACTTCCAGAAAATCCTGGTCCTGAAGTGTATTCGTGCCGACAAAGTCACCAACGCCATGCAGGTAAAAGAGGAGAACTGACCTAGGGCCTGTTTGTTTCACATGAATCCCGATTGCAATCAGTGATTCATCATTGGTTCACTGACACCAAAAGCTGCCTAACGGGATCACTGATCGAGATCTAGATCCCTGTGAAACAGACAAGCTCATAGAAGATCTATAAGGTGAGACTGCTCTGAGTGGGGAAAACAGAGCGTGTATTTTTACATGGGAATGACGGTCTTTTGGTGAGAACTCACTGTGTGAGCCCGCATGAGTTATGAGTGTTTGGCAAGGGGCGTGCTGAGTATCCACCACCAGTGGGAATGTATGGTCTTCGAGTGTGCTGGGTGTGTGCAAGAACTCATTTGAAAAACTTCTCACCCGCCTGTCTCTCCTTTGCCAGTGAGAGTGCACTTCGATGCAGGGCAGGAAAGGTCTGAGGTGCAGTTTCAGCACTGGGCATGACCTGTTGCAATTTTTATGCTCTGGTTGGAACACTGTACACACCTAATTCAGAAAAATTGGTGTTTTTAACATACTATTAAATTTTGATTTTTTTTTAATCTCAACATTTCCTTTTTTTGTCCTCACAATTGAAGCACCACCATGATACAATACATTGAGTGATAGATGCTGTAAGATACTGTTTGCTTTATAAATGCTGTGATTATTTTCCTCAAAATTTCAATGTTTCCCCATTTTTTCCACAAAAAATTCTGAACATTTTTGTGTTTTCCAAAAAATGTAACCCAACTTTGATAAATTCTAAAGTCGGGGGGGGGTCTGTGAAAGAAATGCACACATTCATCCTCCTTCTGGCGTTCAGTTCTGAGAGATGCTTTCCCCTTGTTACATTTTGTTTCCCAGGACTTTGTTGCCACCCACCTCGGCCAGCGATTCATCGAACCCCAAACAGCTGACTTGGCTGTGGCCTTCAAGGAGTCCTCGCCGACCTCCCCTCTGGTCTTCGTCTTGTCCCAGGGTACCGACCCAGCTGCCGACCTCTACAAGTTTGCCGAGGAGATGAGGTTCTCTAAGAAGCTGTCCTCAATCTCCTTGGGCCAGGGACAGGTGAGGACGGATGTGATAAGATGTCTTTAAAAACAAGCTAGCCGAAACTCTCAAGTTTTTCTTGGGGGGGGGTAGGGGCCTAGGTAGGTAGGTGGGAGAAATTTCCTGACTGGCTTTGACAAAGTGAAAGCATCTTGGGCCAACCTCATCATATTTACTGTCTTTGCATGTCACCGTCGTCCATAAAGGTGCTGAATTCTGTTTGATTACAAAGAAGTAAACATTTGAAAGATTCTTTTACAATTTTGTCATGGTTGTCTGGAAAAGTTACATGGTTGAGAGTTTACCTATGGACTGAAAGTGTTTAATTACAAGTTTAAGACTGTGTCAGTTCTTGACACACATGTGCTCTTTTGTTATAGCGGATTAGCAATAACATCTGCTTTATTTACATGAGCCTGGAAAATTGAGTGTTAAAATAGAGTAGACGTTCTCATTAATCAACTGATTGCCAGGAACAGGTGAGATCTGAAAAATAGTAATTGAGCACTCTAAAGGCCAAGTGTATGGAGACTTTCACTGAACCACAGCGGTGTTGTAGTTATTGGCCCTGTTCCATTTCTACTGCATTTGTTTGTTGGTCTCCTGATCTATCCCAGGGTCCTCGTGCCGAGGCAATGATGAGGAGTGCCATGGACAGGGGCAAGTGGGTCTTCTTCCAGAACTGCCATCTCTCCCCCAGCTGGATGCCCTCGCTGGAGAGACTCATCGAAAACATCGACCCTGACAAGGTGAGCACTGCTCCTCCCCGTCCTGTCGATGAGTCAGCGAATGGGCTGATTTTATCAAAAAGAGTACCCCCTTTTTGCCCCACAAGATGTGAAACACCTTGTAATGACACCTGTAATTAAGTTGACAGAGCACCCATATGATGATGACAGGTGCATAGCAAGGGTGTTCTCCATGCTGATGGTAGCAACAGTAGTTATGCATGGTTATGTTCAGTATTCAGATTGCTGGTACATTAATTTTCATACACAGTAGCATGGGACTTGCTAGTTATATTTTCATTCTAATGGAATCTGGAATGCTAATAAGTACCAGTGTGCCAGTTGGCCCTGCTTTTTTCTCTTGCCAATGTGAAATTTTCAAATTGAGCACTCTATTTGAGATTGCTCGCCATGCCATTACTAGTTGCCTCAGAAACCACACATGTCCATTTTGGTGGGAAATAGAAGGAATTTTGATTCCTAGTTTCAGTCTAGGCATCTGTAGGAAAGTGCTTGAAGAATATTCAGCTTTATAAACGAAGCCATTATTGAGTGTTGTGAGGTAGGCACATTGGAATGATATGACAGTTTTCTTTTACCCGGACTGAAGACTTCTGTACGAATAATCAGTTCCTTGTAGGTTTTAGTCAGATCGAGTTGTTGTGTCGCAGAAATTCCTGCTGACATTTCCTACTTTTTCCAGTCATACAGACCAAGACTCAGCTGAGAGTTTTACTTCAGGCAGTTTTTGACAGCTAGAGATAAAAAGGCAAATTATGTTAAATCAGAAGCGAAACGTGTCATCTCTTGTCCTCAGGTCCATCGTGACTTCCGCCTCTGGCTGACTAGTATGCCCAGCCCCAAGTTCCCCGTGGCCATTCTCCAGAATAGCTCCAAGATGACCATCGAGCCACCCCGGGGCATCAAAGCCAACCTCATGCAGTCCTACATCAGCCTGAACGATGACTTCCTCAATTCCTGCACAGGCAAGGTTGGTACCTCCAAAGGATGCTCTCTCGGCCAGCAAAAATGAACGAACCAAAGTGCTCTCCTTTTTCAGGAAATTGGTTTTGTTGAAAACTACGATTCATGGGAAATACACATGGCTTGGAAACGTTGCCAATTTCATCACTACTTTCACTATTACAATCCTCATTGTTTAAGATAATCTACCGATGAGATACTGAGAGACAGTAGAAATGTAAGAGGGAAGTTTTTCCCAAGAAACAAATCAAACATTCAAACATGTTGCTACTTACCAGAATATCTGCTGTGTAGTGCTGAAATAAGGTTTCAGACCATTTGCAGAGCAAGGAGAGAGATTTAGCTTAAATTACAACTAAAGGAAACCAGTTTGATAGTGTGAACAAGAAAGTGAGCGAAACTGAAGCTATCTCTGGCAGCCTATTCTGATCTGTTGTCATTTTTTGAAATTTAACATGACAGTTTACCGTAAAATTACAGAAATGCTCAGAGCCTGGTGACCCGTTTGTTCCATGAATCTCTCCTTGTTCACACCCCTGACCCCTAGACTCACGAATTCAAGAGCCTGATGTTGTCCCTGGCTCTCTTCCACGGCGTGGTCTTGGAGAGGCGCAAGTTTGGGCCCCTGGGCTTCAACATCCCCTATGAGTTCACCACGGGTGACCTGCGCATCTGCATCAGCCAGCTGAAGATGTTCCTGATGGAGTATGACGAGATACCCTTCAAGGTATGGTGTCCTGGGCCCAATTTCATGGCGCTGCTTACGCCAAGCGAAAAGTTGGTGCTTACTGCAGCAGAAAATTCTGTGCTTACGTATTTCACGAGTTAGCACCACCAGACCAGAATTTTGGCCTGTGTGCGTGCATACATTCCATAACTAAGGATTCTGCGCTTGAAAGGTTAGTGCAGAATTTTTCTGCTTGTGTGGTTAGCACAGAATGGAGATCATAAGCGCGGAATTCTGCGGTAAGCAGCGCCATGAAATTGGGCCCTAGGAATCCAAGTCAGGCCTGTAGCTGCAAATGACGTTGTGCCCATGGATTGAGCGAATAATCTTTCTGTATGAAAAACCTCATTGAAGCCAAATTCCAGCAGAACTGTTCAGTTTTCTGATTTTTGTTGTTGTTTGGATATGTATTCATTTGTCATTTCTCATAGGAAGTTAACAGCCATGGATTTGCAGGAGACACTCTGATTACATTGGAAGACCTTTTGGGGGTCCTTTTTGCTCCAAAGAGTCTCGGATCTTGTCTCTTTGACTCAAGGAAATAACGAAGAATGTGCCATTAAAGAATTATCTACTTAATATTCGGAAGTAAAAGGCATCAAAATGGCTGTTATTAGGATTTTTGAAGTAGTTGTTCTTTTGTTGAAATCAGTCACATGTGAGCATGACCTGTGTGGGCTACTCATCAACCTTTTCACAGAGCTTGGCTTTGTGCAGCCTCGTCAATTGCCAATTTGGACGCACACGAACATGTCTACATTCCCAGCCTCATTTTTACTTTTTCATTTAGTCAAGTAGTTGGGATTCTAAAGCGCAGTCATTCGTTTGGTTTTCCTCAGGTGCTGACGTACACAGCAGGCCACATCAACTACGGCGGTCGGGTGACCGACGACCGCGATCGTCGCTGTCTCATGAACATCCTGAACGACTTCTACAACAAGGTGGTGCTGGAAGAGGAGCACAGCTACTCGGTATCAGGGATCTACCGACAAATCCCGACGGCCATGGACCACAACGTAAGTTCCCTGGACCCACTGTCATAGAGCAGCTAGGATGAAAAATGTTGCTTGCCTATTAAAGTAACTGCTCAGCTAAAGGCAGAGAACTGGTCAGTAGGAACATGTTACAGCACGTAGCCATCTGGCTGGGTTACTTGTTTCTGTGTAGCAGGTGTTTCTTATGCGTAAGGTGTTGTGTTATCTGCTGATCTTAGTCTAGACTAAGCCCATGAATACTGCCTTGCATTCACCAAACTCAACAGACATGATGTGAATAATGTGATGTACCAGATGGGCTCATGAACAAATGTTGCAAGAAGCTATTGCACTGTATGTAATGCTTGGCAGCATTCCTTACTAGATTTACACAACCATTCCTCTTGAGATACTGGATAAAAGATAGTAGAAGGTTTTTGGCTTGGTGCCCAAGGACTGAAACCAAGTTATAAATCACAGTTGTGAATATCCACTGTTTGATGTTGACGCCGCAATTGTCTCAACCTTAGGGGTACATGTCCTACATCAAGAGCCTTCCTATCAACGACACACCGGAGATCTTTGGTCTCCACGACAATGCCAACATCACATTCGCCCAGAATGAGACCTTCTCGACCCTGTCCTGCATCCTTCTCCTGCAGCCCAAGACAGCCACGGGGGCCGGGCGGTCCCGTGAAGAGGTTTGTCAAATTATTTTGGGGTTTTTTTCCAGTTTGAATGACCAAAAAAATTTTAGAGTGCATAGAAAATGTCACAATGGCAGTTTCTTTGAGACTTCACTGGTCCTCTGCATCACTGGTTTCCTGCTCCTGCTCTTTATCTATTCAGGTGATTGAGGAAACTGCAAAGAGTATCCTCGAGCGAGTTCCTCAGCCTGTGGATATTGCCATGGTAACCAAGAAGCACCCAGTAATGTACGAGGAGTCCATGAACACTGTTCTGATCCAGGAAGTCATCAGGTAAAGAAAGGAACGCCAGCTCACTTCTTCCCTCTCCTTGTTTTTTTCTCCGCCCACTCTGACTCGACCAAAATGGCTCCCCGAACCCGTGAAAAGATTCCTTTGGATGAGGCCACACAGAAAAAGGTAATGGTGATTCTTGCTATCGCTTCAAGCTGCCTATCGGAAAAAGGTTAAAGGTTCTTGTCATTTTAATCATTGTAAACGCAGGTACAATCGTCTGTTGGTGGTGATCCACCGCACATTGAGGGAGTTACTGAAGGCTTTGAAGGGGTTGGTAGTCCTGTCTGAGGAACTGGAAACCATGTCCAACAGCATGTACATCAACTCTGTACCTGAACTCTGGGCAGGAAAGGTAGGCAGCTCACTCTTCACGAATCTCCTCTCGATTCCTTTCTTTCCAAAAGGAATCAAGTGCTTCTTTTGTACCAGAATTTAGTTTGTGTACTCCTTCACTCAGAAGTTATCCCTCGTGGCTTCCAAATAAGTTGAGTTTCCTTTCCTCCCATGCTGTTGTAGTAGAGGTGAATTTAATCTTTCTTTTTTTGTTAGTCCACGTAGTTATATAGGAGTGGTACCTCCCAGTTTACCCAGCAAAAACCTGTATTGTGTGTACCCCTGTGTAAAGTGTTTGTTTAATATGCATGCAGCTCTATGACCAGGCGTGCTTAGGGTGTTTGTTCAGTAAGCAGGTCAGCAGCCAAGGAGTTCACATGTACATAAAGTCTGTTCTGAAGATGTGTAGGACCTGCAGTGGACTTGGTTGTTGAAGTTTGATTGTAATTGATTTATGCCTTTTCTTGATACTGTGTTCGGTTTTGGGTTTTGCGTTTGGTTTGGTTCTGGTTTGGTCTTTTTTTGGGGTCGTTATTTTCTTAGTACCTTGTTCCTTTTTTTGTACTGCTGATATTTATCGAGAGTCTTTTACTAAAAGGTTAAGGTTTACTGGTCTGAAGAATTGAATTTCCAGGTCTCAAGTTTACGGTATGAGGTATTTCCACTAATTTTGGGGTTTCTTTTGCTTTTCTTTGACTTTTCATTTTTTTTTTGTCGGCTAAGAAGTTACTTAATAGATTGTAAATTATTTATATTTTTTTTCTAGATTTGTTCTTGGTTGTTGAAAAAATGTTTTTTTTTCTTTTGACTTTTTTTTGGAGATCAAACACTTCTTCTGTCCTGTCTTATTTTTTTTAGAAAGACCTCGCGATTTGTCCTTAGTTGATCCCTAGTTAGGTAGTTTTTTTTTGTGCAAGCGATTTTCCCCCAGACTTGTCTTCTTCTAGTGTTCCATTTTTCCAGGTTACACTGTTTTGGAAAAACTCATTTGCTCTACAGGAAATTTCTCAGTTTTGGGGGGGGGTTAATTTGTTGAATCACTGTAATTAGCTCTGTTAAATCGACTGATAATCAAGCAGCCTTCCATGCTGCAAGGTGCAGAGGCCCATCAGCAAACAGACTCAAAATAGAGTGAGTTGGAACTTGTAAAATTGATTGTTACTGCCATCTTGACGTTGTTCTTTGTGCATGGCAGCTCTCTCTGGTATATTTGGCGGATATTGGATGACCACGTGAAAATACTGACCATTTTTAGTGGCAAATTTTGAAGTGTTGTTTAGCTCCTTCGCTACGGAGGACTGCTACTACCTCACCAGTGTGTGAGGATTAGTGCATACCACACATACAGTCTATTCACCATGCAGCTGCTGGTTCAATGGGGCCTGCTGCTGGACAAAGCCCTCCATTCAGGGCATACCACAGCCCAACAGTCGCGGCCGTGAAGGGGTTAAAAGGTTAGCTTGGAAAATCTGACTTTGTGGCACAGGACAAAGGGAGATTCTCCGCGCTTATAGTATGAGGAGATTAAAGTCTTCTCATGTCATGAGCCATAGAGCTGGGGTTTCCAAGTTGTTTAAAGGTCTTGTAGACAACTGAATTCACTACTGCTTCATGTTCACGTTATACTCATCTCCCCTCTCTCTCTTGTCACCCAGGCTTACCCCTCCCTTAAGCCCCTGTCTTCCTGGGTGACCGACCTAGTGGCCAGGATGCATTTCCTCCAGGAGTGGATCGACCAGGGCATCCCGAGCGTCTTCTGGATCTCCGGCTTCTTCTTCCCCCAGGCCTTCCTGACTGGAACCTTGCAGAACTATGCCCGCAAGGCCATCGTCTCCATCGATACCATTGGCTTTGATTTTGCTGTAAGTTTTTTTCCCTGCACGTGCCCATGCATATTGGTTAAATTTTTGTGGTGACAACAAACCCATTGAAAGTGTTCAGTGGCTGCAAGACGTTGACCCCTGATTCTGCTATAAGTTTTATCAATTCAAGAGGGAAATTATTGGTGCTGCAGGTCATGCGGGAGCCTGTTGAGAAGATTACCCAACGCCCGGACACTGGCTGCTACGTGCGCGGGCTGTTCCTAGAGGGCGCCAGATGGGGCTACGAGGAGCACCAGCTGACAGAGTCCAGACCCAAGGAGCTGTACACAGACATGCCCGTCATGCAATTCATACCGGCCGAGAACCGTAAACAGCCCGAGGAAGGGATATACGTCTGCCCCGTCTACAAGACCCTGACAAGAGCAGGTATGGGCAAACTCTTATCTGCTTGAATATTCGTAGTTAGTCAACCATTTTGCTCCGAAGGAAGTACAGCTTGAGCCAGATACACCTTAACTGTCTCTGTCTGGTGCATACATTGAAGGCCGCTTGAGTTGTTGGCAGTCTCTTCTCTGTCCTCCCGGGGACCCGTTCTACTCCTTGATGGAGAGAGGCAATTGTAGTAAAGTGTCTTGCTCAGGAACACATATAGTGAAACTGCTAAGCACAGAAATATTTGAACAAAAACAGGTTACCATGCGAAGTACCACGCTACACCTGTTTCCTCTGATCAGTTTTCATCTGACCATTGCTTAGTACGTGAGTTTGCTTGGCAGCATTTTCTACACCTCTGTGAATATGGCCCCAGGCCATCAAGAGCTTTCAGAAAATGAAAAGTATACTGCACAGTCATGTACAATCAGGAAAAATTATGGTTTATTTTATTTCCCTTGCTTCAGAATTTTAAACACCTCAAGATGTAGCCTCTCCCCTTAGACAGGCCATAAATGGCTACATAAAAAAGTTCCAAATGTTTTGGCCCCCCAAAAACAATTTGGTCCCCCCTCCTTGAAAACTATTTGTTTCTGGCTGTGCCCTTGATTCAAGTCAGAACTCTCGGGGAGAGTACACAAAACACAAGTGCACAACGGAGGAATGAAATTTGATTTTAAAAATGAGATTCGATAGGGGAGCTTTCATCACCTTCAGAGTATCAATTCTGTTGACGTTCGCGAGGACGACGCGGCAGTACATTATAGGTCAAACATTGAGTCAGTATTTGTGTGAGCATGTGGGCTTTTACAAAGATACTATCCTGTCCCACAGGTGCCTTGTCCACAACGGGTCACTCCACCAACTACGTGTTACCCGTGGAGATACCCTCAGACAAGCCACAGTTCCACTGGATCAAGCGAGGCGTGGCACTCATCTGCGCCCTGGACTACTAAGCAAAGAAAAATACAAGTACTGAACAAGTGCAGGATCATCAACTACATGCTGCTTGGTTTTTCAGATCGTCACCAACTGTGTGTGCCTTTTTGAGAGGTTCATCTATTGCAATTCTGAGGTAGTTTTTTGTTAATTTCTATATCTCTTGCATGGACTCCCTTATTTAACCGAGGATTGATGTGGTCAATCTTTGCAGACTTGCTGTCTTTGTTCATTCATTCTCTAAATGTTGAATCCGTCCATAACCTTAATTTTTTTTCCATAATGCACAAGCATTTTGTGTTCAATTTTAAAACAATTTTATCATAATTATCATCGTATTGTATTAAATGCTTTTGAATATTGCTTTCAAATTGTAAAGATTTAGCTGTTCCGAAGCAAATAAAAAAGTTTATAAACCAATTTCCATCTGCCTTTGATTACCTTCAGTTTTCCATGTAAATACAGTTTGAATCGTAAGCCAGAGACACAGTTGTATGTATTTGTTACTGATGTGTACTTTTTAGATTTCTTCATAGATGTATTCCATTGAGCATTCCGTCCCATTTATATGTCCACCATAAAAAAAAGTCCCTCATATAGAAACTAAATTAATCCCGGGAAGTTTTTTCACAAACATATTTGACACTGCACTTCACTTGACTGCTTAGGCAGAACAAAGTGTGTGTTTTTGTAAAACAAATGACAACAGAACTCCAAAATACAAGTAATGCTTCCTATATATATTTATTACATTTTCCAAGTCTAAGTTGTTAATCAGTGCCTCATTCCATCCTGAAAATTGGAATGCAAGCAATAAACTGCCATGGTCAAGTGTTGTGCTTGAAAATCACAGAGTTCTGGAGTGATTTGACCCACCGCAAAGTTGCAGTTGAGAGAATGTTTGTGGAGTTGTAGGGACACCTTTCTCTTAAAGAACATAACATTCTCTGAAAACAATAAACTTGTTAATAGCAGATAAACTATATGGACCAGATCGTTGAATTCCTACTTGAGATTCTGACTATAGAGACAAAACATTTTGAAAGAATGACATGCCACCCTCAGATCTCTGAAGTACTGCTCAAATACTTAAAGTAATATGTACTGTGTGTATATATGACTTCAGATTTATATTTGATTGAAATAAAGTTTTATTTTGTTTGAGTAACTGTACAATCTGAACATTGTTCTGAGTGATATCTATCAAGGTCTGGTCGAAAATAATACCAAACCAAAGCTTAGATTTTACAACAGCTGCCTTTTCCTGTACACATCTCTACTACAATCCATCCGAGCATGCCTGTTTCTATTCAATAAAAGTTACTCACACAACTATCAAGGTTTTAGATGCTAAAAGCATAAATAACACACACAGTTAACTTACTAAAGGATAAAAATATAACAGATTTGTTAAAAATAAGCTTGCCAAGCTATTTGTCACTTTTCCTCTCAAATAAAGAATACATATAGAATCTTGACAAAAAGTCACTTTCCCTTGAAAAAAAAAATGAAAACCAAGAGAACATTTCAGTCGATAAAAGTCATCAATTCATTCAAATTGAATGAAATCTAAATTTGAAGAAAGTCATTGTTGTATCTTCGTGTTCACACTTTCCCTTTCTTTTGTCTTTCCAATTCAAGGTTTTTCTAAAAAATCTCCAGTTTCCCAGGTTATCAGAGAAAAAAAAATATAAAAAAACAACAATGAACAAAGAAAATGTACACTGATGAAACTACCCTGTATTTCACTATTAGTAAACTAATTCATTCATTAATGAATAAAACATGAATAAATGAGCTGCACACAAGAATGTTTTTTATATACATAAAGGGCGGAGTTTGAATACATGAATAAAATGAATTCACACACGGGGGGTAAAATAGGGCGGAGTTATATCCTGCACACAAATCAGATAAATTAACTAAATACTTGATAAATGGAATGAAAACTTAAGCAGAAAATAGGTGAATCTATCAAAAAATAAGTTTTCCTGTACTGTTAAAACTATCAGAGACCTTTTTTAGTTTGAAAGACAAAGTTTCTACATTTCAGAAAATAAACAACATATGCATGCATAGAAAACAAATTTAGTAAATTATTTGCAAAATATCAGAGAATAAAAAAACAAAATACCCTGCAGCAGGTAATGGATTTCGAACAATTACCATAAAGATGGCAAGGTAATGCCTTTTAAAACCAAGCAAATATGAAAAAACACACTTTAATTCAGCTTTGTGCATGAGATGTACATGTATTTGCCCTGTTAATTGTGTAATACCACAACACTGTACAGTATGGTCACCTGAAGTCGACTTTCAAAGTAAATGCTCTGTATTGTTCAAAGCTCCTTCAGTTTGGAAAATCAGGTGAGTTTTCAAAATTTGATTCTACACTGATCAATAACGTGGAAATAAAATCGAGAAACAAATCTTGGGTGGCTTTTTAAGCCTTTCGGCAACCAACTGGCAGAATGTCACCGGTGCCCAATTTCTACACAAATCTGACTTTGCAATGAATTGACGTGCCAGGCGCACATTAGTTATGGCTGCAGAGTTGTAGCATCAACTGTTCATACTTTTAACAAGCCTCTTCTATTTTAATTTCTTTGTGACAAAAGCATTCCAGAAAAAAAAGTAGCCCAAGGTGACAAAAAATGTAACAGGAACATGAACCAAAATTGAGCTTTTACTGTAGTTCATTGAATAAGTGAATTTTGTTCATACTGAAGTAATGAAGAAAACTTTTAAGCTGCAATTTGAAAACAAACTTAGCATCCGATCAGGATGGCAAAGTTGAGTTGTTAGGTCTCCTATTTACACTGAATAGAAACATCGTTGGATTTACACTGTTAGTTTACAATGAAGATACATGTACATTTTATATATAATTATTCACAGAGGGTTTTTACCAAGTGGACGTGAAATTACGTTTTTTTTTACGAGTCAATTTCCAAAAATTCCTGACTAGTGAATCACAAAGAATGGATGGAATGTCAACGTTTGAAAATGATGCTCTTCTTCATAGAAACACCACAGGCTATCTTTTGCTTAGTTCACTGTGGGAAAACCAATCCAAATCCTCTCACCCAAAGTTTTGAAGGCAACTTCAAAACCGAGAGATGGATTTTTGGAATGAAACTGAAAACACAATTACACCTCATAAGTGCTGCGCCCTTGTCATGAATTGACGATTAGTTGATCCTGTTAAACAGGTTTACTGAAATGTTTGAAAAGATGTGCGCTGACAATGGAGGTAACGGTTACCCTGACCTGATGAAAACCTGATGGCATAAACTTCTCAAATTTTAATCCAAATTGACTGACAACTAGTAGGTCCTTTAACATTGATTCTTTACTCAACACACTATCTACACTATAGTCACGTTCTTTAAAGAGTGTGTTATCTACACTACACACGTATTCAAGTTCATTAATAGGAATCTAAACAGTGAAAGTATTGTTGTCAGTTCAAATATTCCAACAGGAAGCCACTCCGTTTGATATATTATGTATAGAATTCTGTGTCCATGGGCTCCAATAAGGATAGTGGAGGGGGATGTACTGGGGTGTGACGGACTATAGAGGGTTTGCATGGTTGCCATCTTGCAGGCCAGTAATTTTGTTCCACTGGATATGCACAAAGGAGGGTTCCCTGTGGGACAAAAACCCTGTACCGCAAGATGGCTACCATGAAAAACGTCTACTGAGCTCAAATCTTAGAATCATAAGCCTGGAACCTTGTCAAGTGTCAGTTTATACCCATAAACTTCCAACAACCGAGTCAGGGAATTATGTATGGGGGTACGAGTGGAAAATCTCCTTTGTGAGGAAGTGTTGGCACCGAGATGTTTCACGTTTTCAAAAGTATGCTGCATTTGTCTTCAGAACATGAAAGTTGGCTTTCCAGAAAGACTTTTATTGCATGACATTTTCACTTGTTCTTGGTGGCTGATTTCATATTTGATTTTTAAGAGGAGACACAGTTTTTTAAGCAGCTGGCAGCATAAAAGACTTCATTATGCAGCAAGAAAAGACCCTCCGATCAATCGACGTTTACTAATCTAAATCCTGGAACAGTACATAAATACTCTTGATTGTAGGTACAGAAACTTGCCTTCTGTTAGATTTCTCTTGACTATTTCCAACACTGAACTTACCCTGTTGAAATCTTCTGAAGTGGCAAGAAATTTCCAACCAAGCAAAGCTGAACATTTCACTTTGACCATTTGCCAGCTCAACAGCGATCAATATACGACCATACCCACTGCAACACTGCATCTGAACCAGCCAGCTAACCACAGCAAGCTCAGTGGTTGACCGGTTATTAATGGGGCTGAACTTGGAAACAGAGGATCACTGGTTCGAGTCCCACCTGAGCAACTCTATGAATATTTTTTCCCACAAGCACTGAATATAGTGCACAACACATCGGGCTGGCAAAGAGCAGAACCTGATCCTCAAATTTACACCTACTGACGCAACGTTCCAGCAACAAAAAACCACACATGTGGTTGAATTAAACCTTAGTGAACAAAACCTGGCTGCCTGACTGGCAATTCAGGCCTTATGGATCCTTAAGCTGGCACCCTCACAAATGTACACTGCGCAATAACTACTCCAAGCAAATTCTGTCGGGCAAGTCAGCATGCTCTTTGCTGCGCTAGCGAGCTCTGCAAGATGCCTCTATTCCTGAAAGAAAATTGATAGCTCAGCAAGGCCATAAAATAGTTCAGCTGGAGTTGCTACCTGGGCCCTATTTCATGGCGCTGCGAAATAGTTAGCAGGAAAATTATGCTTACTATAGCAGGAAAGTTTGCTTACCGTAGGCAATATTGCATGGCAATGTTTGGTGTGGTTGCACTTACAGGTGCATGAGTAGAGAGGTTTCCACTGTTCTGTCACTGTGTTAAGCAGCTTTGTCCCCCATGGTAAGTGTGTCTTTTGCCACACTTACTGCTTACAGACTTCATGAAGAACACCAAGCCTCTGTAAGCGTAAAATCGTGTGCTTAACAAGGCCATGAAATTGGACCCTGCTGTATAAAGCTTGATAGGTCTTATCTGCGTAAAGGGAGACACGTCTTGCCTGGATCATACATTAGGACCAGCCTACTCCATGTAGATGTCCTCAGTGGGATTGGTGAAGTCTAGGAACTCTGAGTAAAACCTCCTGAAGGCAGCCCTGAAGAGAGAGAATAAAGACATCCCGAATGCAAGAATGCCAGACTTCACAGGCTTTGGGGAATCCACAATGATATCAGTATGCATCAATGTAGGGGGAGAACTGCGTGGGTTTCAAATATATCTTTTAAAGGTTCAACTCAAAACTTGACCGGCAACCTTTCTGCTAACCTCATCTTCCCACTGCCCCACCACCCAGATTTGTCACATGCACAATTCAACTCTGAGTTGGCTCGCCACCAAACCACTCCAAACTACCTACCCCATGGCCTCTGCCACTGGCTTGGCTGACAGGCCATCCTCCATGACGAAGACATGACAGGCATACCGGCCATCTGAAGGGTGCTTTGTTATAAACGCAAAATACCTGAAACAGAAAGCAGTAACTTACTATTAATCCCACTGTGTACACAAATATTTTCATTTCCCAATAAAACAAATATGAGCATTCCACCCTAGAAAATGAATTTCATGTTAATAAGTTGTATTGGTATAATGAAAATTAATACAAATCATGAAGCAAACTATATCGGGAAACTGACTAGGTGCTTATACATGATTATAATGATGAACAAAGAAATTGACTGGAGCGGGATTTGAACCTGCGGCCTCCAGAATACAATACCGGTGCTCTACCAACTGAGCTCTCCAGCCCCATGTTGGTTTGGTGGCTCTTCCCATTTGTCAATATCTTTGTTTCGGGGGCACTAGCCAGAAGCCATTAAACCTGAAACACCAGGGATCACGCTCCAATAACACGATACAACCTGGGAAGTGGTGAACAGGGATCACTCAGAGAGGATACAGCTTTTTTTTTAATCATAAATCGTGAAGGAAATTATATAGGAAACTGACTAGGTGACATTTCTTTCTTCATCTTTATAAACATAGAATTAATACGGGCAGATTCACAATAGTGCACCACCAAGACTTTGCAATGCGTTGGCCAATCACAACATGTGAAATCTCTTAATCCTTTTCAAACGCACATTTGGTCCGCAGATCTCGCGCGCATTGTGATTGGCCACACCATGATCGTTTTACACCACGATCAAAGAACACCGGGTTTTGAGGAGACAAGCCAAAAATTGGCTTAACATACATCACCATGTAGGCGTCCAGGATACTCCCATACTTCTCTTGTGAATGGGAAGAACAGCGCCCTCAATGGCTCATGCACAAAGCCAGTGCCAAAGTCACAGCTGACGACAATGTCTGTGCTCACCTGTTACTTGACGGGTGGTAGCCACAGAAGGAGATGTTCTTGAGGGAGAAGAAGTAGTTGTGACCCTTGTTCTGCTTGGATCCCAGAAGCTTCTCGACCTTCTTGAGGACAGAGTCTTTCTTCTAGATGGGCCAAAATTGGGCACGGGAAACAATGTCAAACACTCTGCAAAGGTTAGAATTTTGAGGGCCGTCAGGGCTCAATGTACAAAGTGCTACAGTGTATTAGAGTTGGACAGGTCACAGTTCTGCGGCCTACTTTAATCAGCGTAATTCATTTCACGGAGACCCTGAGCAGAAAGTATGGCCAAGAGGCAGTTTGCTTCAAACAGTCACACCGAGTTCCAGTTTGTAATAAATCTGCACATACTATGGAAGTACATCGGTGCCCATGGCGAACCCAGAGGTGTTTTGAACTTCCCAACTAATTGTCAAATTACCATCTAATACAACATGATGCCGCAGTGAACCAGTTTGGGATTTCAAAATGGCAAGGTCACTCACGAACAAAGCACACCAGCTCAGCCATGTCCAGTGTGTGTGCGGCTGCCCAGACAGGCCAACTTGATGCATACTGTCCTCAAACAACCTCCAGACAAGCTTCATTCTGATCAAACGCTGAATTAGCTCACTAACAGCTACAAAAGGGCCCATGTCAAATCATTTGAAAGTGACCCTCCTAAAGACGAGCAGAGCATACTGTTCAGAACGTCGAGTGTTCACCATCGGTTCTTCTCAGAACCACACACTCATAGAGATTCTTCCTTGTACATGGTGCAACTGCAAGCCTAACCTAATTTAGTACTTCAACCATGCTTAGCTTCAAGTTCTATCCATTCTTAAGTCATTAGGTTCCATCTGAAATCAATTATTCCTGTTTTCATTTTAAACAGTTCACATTGTGGATTTTTTGGTGTTGAAACTATTTAGTGACTGAAGTTCCTCACCTCTTTGGCCTTCTGTGGTTTTGCCTTGTCGATCATCTTGACTCCTATATCGCTAATCTCCAGGACACACAGCGTCGGTGGGTGGATATCTACAGTAAGTCTTCTAGCTGTCACAACCTTGAAAAGAGAAGAATGAACACCAACTGAATGAAACATTTCCATGAAAAAACAGCGATGCATGGCCATCATTGCACCATAGGACTTGAGCTAAAGAAATTAGATGTATTCTGTGGCAACAGTGCTTTTATTTATGAACTAATGATCTCCAGGACCCATCTTCTAGAAGGAGCTCTTGACCAACTGTTTGGGGGGAAGTTGGGAGGCTGAAAATTTTTGGATATGACTGAATTTACAATTGGTCATTACAATGACGAATCTGCAGTTTGACAAAGCGATGTCAAAGAACACATAGCTTACCTTTTGCATAGCACGGCATAAAACGTCGTTGCCTTTGTGAAATGCTACCTCTACAGAGCCTAGAAACTTGGCGTTGTACCGGTTTATATGTACTTTCCGGCCACGGAACCCTGCCAATCAGTTGAAAAGGATTAGAAGAAAATTTACTTTGTGGTCAAATAAGAATTAAGAAGCAATAAGTCATTTAAAAAAATTCACTATGATTCAATTTGTCATAAACACTTTATTCAAAACCCTTACAGTGTGCTAATTTACTTTTAAACTTTAACTTTAACCGTCCTCTTAAAGGTGTCTTTCCATATGCGCGTCAACTCTTGCGCCAAGAGCTGCGTATCCATCACAAATGAACCCAACGCACATCTGTGTTATGTTAATGGAGTCTATTTTTCTGTCCATACAAGTACAATGCATTGTATACCCAACGCACCCAAAAACGTACGTATGGAAAGGCGCCTGAACTCTACTTCCTGGGCATTTTATGCAAAAACTTCTCTAAAATCTCCCAAAGCCACTAGTTCTGTAGAAACCTGATTGCTTAATCTTTGAACGTTAAACTTTAAAGGTTCAGCAAACTCTTGCAGAATAACAGAAACCAAGTTTTAATTTCCTCACTCCAGCATTCGAACAAGGTAAGTTTTCATCTGATCGAGTCGTAAGTCATTTTGCCACAAATCAATTATCCCTAAGTCAAGTCACAAGTCATTTTTTTGTAGATCAAGTCAAGTGGCGAGTCTTTTTGTTTCTTGAGTCATGCGAGTCCAAATGAAAACAAATCAAGTCTAACTTAATCCAACAAAGTCATAAAAACCCTAGATAGTTTTCAAGCATGAAGATGGGTAAAGTCAAATATGCTTTGACAGTACGGTCAAATTCACATTTGATCACGTTCTTACAGATGTTGTCAATTTCTGTAAACACACTACGAGAGTGAAAAGCCTTTACCGGGTATACTCTCCGTATCAGCGGTGAAATCCCGCACGTATCGGCTCGGGAAACAGCCCTCCTCTCCTGTCTTCAGGTTAATGCCCTCATACCACAGGTCCTCGCACTTGAACTCCACAAAGATGGGGTCACTGACCTCCAGTGGCAGCTCGTCCTCGTGCCGAGGCAGGAAACGGAAGACGGCGATGTGCGTTTGCTGTTTGATTTCTCCATTGATGACCAGCATTGCTGGCTGAAAGCATGACTTTTCTTCATCTGAAAAAAAAAACAACAATCTGACAATTTTTTTTAAAATAAACACTTCAGCAAAGTATAAATTGTGTTTTTGCATCTCAGAGAAGATGTTTACATGTAAAACTAAACAAAAGCAATAGACGTAGTTTACATTTTTTACTGATAACAATAAGGGGATTATTTAGGAAGTGCACCAATCCCAGAAACTAAATGTAGATTGAAGAGCTGATTATTTTACCAAAAACTCCTGATCACTGCACCCATAAACATTTCCAAACATCATTTCCTAGGCGAGTATATAATTCAATGCTACCATTTCATGCACAAACAGATAATCAGAAGACAACCACCATTTCCACCCCCGCAAGCACCACTTTTACACTCCTGGGTAGAAAGCGGTGAGTAGGGATAAACTGACTTTCCTAAGGTCACAACATGTAGCCAGTGGTTACTAGACCACACAAAGGCCTCCCCCAATACTTCTAACGGGCCGTACCTCCGGACTTATCCCCCGGCTCTTCCTTGCTCATGTTCTCCATCTTCAGTCGTAGCCGTCTCCGCTGCCGTTCCTCAGGACTGGAGTCCTCCTGCAGCAGCATGTTGGTGTTGGTCAGGAAGGGCGTGTAGTGGGCACTGGTGGTGTTGAACTCCAGCCGGGTGGGACGCTGGGGCTGGGGCTGGGGCAGCCGCAGGGCGTAGGGCTCCACAGGCGTGTCCGGCAGTGCCGAGGTGTTGTCGTCGGAGGGGCTGGGTGGGACGGAGCTGAGCGAGACGTCAGGGTGGTCCGGGGACGGGGTGGAGGAGCGGGCGGAGCTAGTGGAGTTGGCTGGGCGGCGGTCGGCCTGTAGCAGCTCCATCTGAAGGTTACCTGGAGTAGCAGTGACCACAGATAAATTCACAGGTTCCAGCAATCAATTTCAAGGTAGAGCCAGTTTGGTAGTCCTTGATGGCCAATTTAAGGATTGCAACAACTGAAAACGTTTAAGAAGACCATACTTCTCTGCAGGCTTGTTTCTCTTTGCCCCATGAGGGCAGTGCAAACAGTATGAAAAGGGAGGGTGAATACTGAACATAAGTCACAGCATTTTTGAGTAGACTTTATACCCCCAGTGAGTCCCAGCAACATGAATGCTACAGTGTGGCTGACATAAAAACGTTGACCTTAAAACTGTTCTACTTGAGTGCAAACAAAGGTCAATGACAGGTGTTGCAGACTCAAGGGTGGGAAGGGGGCTGCAGTAACCTGGTTTAGCTGGTGGCATCTGAGGTAACTTCCGTCCTTTCCTCTTGGTTTTTCTCTTCTGGCGTAGAACTTTTCTGCCACTGTCAGAATCATCGGTCTAGATGTTTTTAAAAGGGAGAAGTACAAAGGAGATACATGATGTCCTCAAGCAAGTTGCTTGCATCAAGTAAGTCACATCTAAACCTCACATCTGAACAGTGTAGGGTAAAACCCTGTTGTAAAAAATGATTCGTTCTGACTAGTTTGTTGGTGCAAGCAATGACAACACTGCACCTCACCTTGATGGTTGTTTGGCTGTTTCGTCGAAGAGTCTCAGCCTCTATGATGTTCAGGAGGGTGGTGGTGGCAGCGTCGCCGCTCAGCCGCTCTGAGAGGACGTTGCTGTCTGAGAGGTCCAGCTTGATCATGTCCTCATTCAGAAGCTTGTCGGTGCTGCCATTGGAGTCGTGCCTTTCTTTGGTGGGCTTTGCTGCAAAAGTTAGCACAAAACAGGTTCACGTCACTTCAATGACACCACCAGAGCAGAATGGAAAAAGAAAGAATGAGGAAACCGAGTGAGAGCACAAAAGAGAGAAAAGGAGAGGAACCGACATCCAAAGACAAAAAAAGTCACTCCAAGCATTGTTAGGATGCTCGCTTTGCACAGGGTTCATTGGGTCAGTCCCAGACAACGTGCATGGTGAATTTGTCTCAGCCACTTTGTGATGCTGAATGTCGGTGTTCTGAACACCTGTTGGACTCACTCTCTGCTTTCGCAGGCTTATTGTCGGTCGCATAGCTCCAGTCACCCTGCGTTCCCAGGTCATTCTGTGTGTCAAACAGATCCTGGCTCTGAAAGTTGTCAAGGCTGATGTCGTGGGTCAGCCGGTAACTGATAAAGGACGAAACAGTCAACAAAAATAAGTAAATATAAATATGAAATGAGTGCACATAAATACCTATTCTTTTTATTGCCTAACCCAAAAAGAGCTAGGGGAGGGGGCAGAATCCTCCCCCTCGACATTTTTTTCTGATATCACCACGGTGCATTTTTTCAGAAGCTGAGCATTGAGAACTTCATAGAGCAACTCTTTGCAGTCATTTTGACACTGTTTTTAACGCCTCCAAAAATGGTCTGACCAAGATGCATTTCTTACGACATCCTCTTCTAGATAATATCCGAATATGAGATAACATTAAAAATAACACAGAAAAAAATAATTCAAAACTTTATTAGCTTCCCTAACTTATTGACACAACTTATTTCTAAGACTTTTATATTACCTGTAGCTATCTGGTATCGATCGGTAACTTTTTCTAGGCACATAAGAATGAAAATCTGTCAAATCTGGGTCTTGATCATCAGAAGAAACTTGCTCCTCGTCGTCTGCCATATTGGCGATTTTCCTGTTTTTTTTTTAATGTCAGGGTACTAGTTCCCTGACTCGAGTAGCACCATTTCACACATTTTCCTCAAAGGGTTCCGACTTTTAAGAGCCGGTGGCGTGACACCCTGATCGCGTTTATTAAATCTAAGTGATCGGTTTGTCATAGTCAGGTAACTTCTTGCCACAATTGGAGCAAAGAGGGCGCCATTTATGTTTTTCGCGTGTTCGTACCCGTGTGCAATGTGCACGTAACATGAACATACACGACATGTGACACTCACTGACTTCAAGCTTAGTACATGTACATGTACGAGCACGGTGTGGCTGGCGTTAGGATTGGGTTATCCTCTCTTACTGAATAAAGCCAAGATGAAAACGAAATCTTCATACCACAGAAGTACAAACACATATAAGGTAGTTTTCCTTTTTGATTTGGAGAAATGTTGATAATGAGTTAACCTTAAAATGTAAATTGAAAAGTGAGTTGACACGACTGACAGTATAGTCTAGCCCCACTAGTGTGGATGGCACGGATCACTCCCGATTCATCCTTAGCCACACATCCGTACGCGCAATTTCGTGTCGGCGTACTGAACATTTTTGGCTCACCCACTTATAATCGTGGGCGCAATTTCTTTTGCATACGAACATGATTCTTGACCTTTCCGTTTTCTAAATACCATTTATTGAAGGATTTCACTCACGTTATTCAGGTATTTTCCAGTCTTTTTTCCTTTATCCATTCAATCTAACAGGCTCACTCTCACAGTCGCCATCTTTAAAATAAGGTCGTTGAGCATTAGGTCCCTCATCGTCTCAGCGGCTGTTCCATGTCAAGACATGTAATAAACGGACTGAGCGATAAGATACTTCATGTACCAATGGACTCTTCCAAAACTTTGGCAGCAGTTTAGATGTCTTTTCAGAACCGCAAATACTCACAAAAGAGATACGTCCATGGTGCTACCACAAACCTACTTTCTATTAAGTCACAAGTCATTATATGCAAGTCCAAGTCAAGTCACAAGTCATTAGGTCCAGTCACAAGTCAAGTCACAAGTCTCTTTGTCCAAGTACAAGTCAAGCTGCACATTATTTTGTTCAGTTGTAATCAGCAAAAAGAACCAGGCGTCAAGCCGGTCAAGTAGCGTCTGACTTGGGTCGGTAACAAGTCATTTTTTGCAAGTCAAAGTCAAGTCACAAGTCAAAGCTGGCATTCACAAGTCAAGTCACAAGTCACAAAAATAGCGACTCAAGTCTGACTCGAGTCCAAGTCACTTGACTCGAGTCAGCAACTCTGCTCTATCACCACCTACTGGCTTCCGTAAATCCGACTGTTTTTGCTCAACAGACACACAGCACTTAAACTTTTCGTCGCCTGCTCCTTTCAAATGCGCGGATCCAGATGTAGAAGATGCAATAACTCTATGGGTAAAACATGGTCCTCTCAGAAACACGCATGAGTGGCGCATACGTGGTTTGGGCACAAGACTTCTTGGAATTTTTGAGAACCGTTTTCACCTTACTATATGTACAGGCATGGAGCGTTTGTATGATGATCCCGTCCAAAATCATGAAAAGAGGAATACTAACTCTCCACTCCATAGAGCTACGCTAGTCCCTTAATAGAGCCTGAGAGTTGAACCGTGATGGTGTGCTTCCGGAACCCTTGGATAGGAAAAATAACGTGCAAAGATTTTAGAATTTGTAATATTTTTTCGTTCAGTTACTTCTTAAAAAATCCAACTCGGAAAAGGGACTTTGGAAAATATTTGCTAGTATATCAATTTATAGAAACTGAAAAATCACCTGACCTAAAAGAGAAATATCCTGCCAAAAATCGACCCATCACTTCCAAAAATCTAAAATGCATGAAGAACAGTGCAATGTGGCAGTCTCGTACGTAGATGAACGTTTACGGTTTGAAATTTTATGGTAGTCTGTCAGTAAAAGCCGAAATAAAAAACAGATAAAAATATTTTATATAGTCTTATAATTTATAAGTAATAAACTGAAAGCAACATTCTCCTTCAATTACGAAAGATTCCAATCTTTTATCTAACCTTTGCTGACAACAACTGTGTGATGTCAACTCAACGGAATCTGGAACCCATCGACTGCAAGTCGGCAAATCTTTGCAACGTTGCACAATCATATTCATGCACATAAGCACAGGCAGTGAAAACAAACGTGCATGAACATGGAGACCTAGGTATGATATCGCCGGAAGTGAAAAGTCGTTAAGAAAATTCATTTTTTTACCTACCTGCGTGTGACTTTTCCTAAATATTACTTGAAGAAGACAAAGGTAAAATTCCAACATGAGTGTTTCATGAGGTGGTTTCAGTCAGAAATTATTCTTCCAGAAATTGTCGAACGTGATAGGACGGCCCAAGGTAAAATCCCGTAGGAGGACTGCGCGAGGGTTCCAGAAGCTCACTGCATGACCTTTTACTTTCGGTCTCTATTAGGCCTAGGCATGAGTGTGTGGGTCATATGAGCGGTCATGCTATTTAGCGTCAACAAGTGTCAACACATACCACTAGCACCAACAAAGTGTCAACAACTTTAAAATACCCTCTAAGGATTTGAAAGTAGTTTTATTTAAATTTAGAGACTCTAAGACCTGCCACTTTGTAAAAGAAACACCGAATTTGCTTCCAGATTCACGCAGAAAAACAAAACGTTTTACGCGATGTATGGAGGCCGCCATCTTTCTTTACTCTACCGTCCATGCAAAAACAAGATGGCGGCCGGTCAGCCTGCACGAGCAGGCCCGAAATTGTCGCTAAAATTTCCACCTTCAAGTATTATTTTCAGTAATATGATACGTTGAATGTGATATGCAGAAGCCTTACTAATATTGTAAATATAAAATATGTATATAAAAATGCTTGAATATTTAGTTGACGCTTTGTTGACGCCTGTTGATGCTAAAAAGCATGACCCCATATGAGGACTGGTAGAGTTATTGCGTCAGCAAAATCAAGGCACGCCTATTTGAATGGAAGGAGGCGGCGTAAAGTTTGTGTTGAGCAAAAACGGTCGGATTTTGACAGATTTGGAAGTCGGAAATACATTGTATCACTTAAGCCCCAAAAGTTTTCCTTTGGCATTTAAGAATGCCAGTAGGTGGTGAAAAAGGTATTTTTGGTGAGTCTTTGGAATTTTTGAGAACCGTTGTCACTTTACCATATGTACATGTAAGCATTAATATGACTGACCCTGTCCAAAATCGAAAAAGAAAATACTAACGCTCCACTTAGTAGAGCTACCAGGCCAGGTACTGAAAGCTCGACAATAAGATAATTAAGAGTACTGATGTATAATTACATTTTGGTCAGTATATGGCTCATATACTGGACTACCTGCAGTATAGTGAGCCACACAAGACCATAAGTTTTGTGTGGAGAGTACCCCTTTGCTGGGGATGGTAGGGTCCCCTGAGAACGTTTTTCAGAGCTTGACATTCAGTACGGTGTATATTGAGAAGGTTCATATCCCCAAAATTAATTTTTGTACTTTTGCTGTTTCCTTGTCAAGAAAATTTCCGGAGCGATGTTGCTTGCATTCTGCCGCACTTCCACTGTATGTCACTAAAGGTTCAAGGGTCATGCGCCACTGAGCAGGCGTCTACTTTCCTGAAATATGTCGATGGCTGTTACAAATAGAAGTGGTAGTGATCATTGTATTTTAATTCGGATATTGATATTTGTTCAATAAGTGTAATTTTGTCATACAGTAAAAGTCTGAAAGGCATCCAATCACTATTAACATGGGAACAACACGTAACAGCTGTTGACATATTTCAGAAAAGTTGACGTGTGCGTGCATCTACCTAATCATTTACACAAGGTCTCTCTTAAAGATTTAGACATTTGGAGACTTTGAAAGTTTGTCACACTGACTGAATTTCTATAACTCAGCAAATAATGCTTCATTGGAAAATCTGCTTGATAAGATGGTTTTAGTGAAACAAAAATGATTTTCTTGTGTAGGTATTTTTTAATGCGTGAAGTTTTCGAGCCGATCCTGAACTGAATGAAGTGATCTGGAACTGAGAACATTTTTGTCAGAGCTTAGTAGCCGCTCAGCTTGTGGGTCGGGTCCTGGGGCTGGGGATACGGGGGCAACTTCCATCAAAAGCCGTCACGGATAAGGCAAGGGTTTTTTTTCTTTCTTTTCTTTTCAAATTTAATATCATACTTTTATTTCAAGTTTCGTTTTCCGTGAATTTTTTTTGTCAGTTTTGTTCCAGTAATTGGGTACCAAAATCCAAAACGACCAAAATTAAGGATGTTACATTTACTAAGCACACATACATGTACGGAATTAGTACCAGTTGGTTGCAGGCGCCAGTGCCGAGTCAGTCAGGAGCAGAGTCGGTCAGGTGATGAGTTGGAAAATGCTGACCAGAGGTTAATTTAGGTGCCAAGTTGGCTGGGTGCTGAGTTGGCTGGGCGTCTACTAGGTGCCGAGTTTGAAAGGTGCTGAGCTGACGAGGTGCTGGGTTGGTAGGTGCCGAGTGTGTCAAGGTGACCAACATCTTACAATTCTATGGCGCACTTGACTCCATAAATGGAGCCCAAAGTACTAGACTGCCTTGTACCCTGGGCCCCACACTAATGTGTAGTAAAAAGTGGTCGGACATCAACCAAATTCATTTTCAAGATCTGTTCATTATTTGTCCCATTTGAAAATGCCATTACCTTCACAGCAACATGACCAAGTGAATTGCAAGGGATGCTGGGTGACCATTTTTGCTACCCTTCCCTATTGAGAAATTTTGAAGAGAATTTCACTGCTCTATTTGTACTTTGTACCTGTCTTTATGGAGAGAAGCTGAGAAATGTTCAAGGTCATGTTCCCAGTGTACTGCTTTGGTAATCTAACTAATGGGAATAGTGGCCAACTCGTATGCGCCAACTCGTAATTGTTCTATCACAATCATTTGCAGTCAAATGGAACTCGGCAAGAGATAGCATTTTCTTGGTCTCTAGATTCATCTGTAAAC